TTGGGGGTTTTGGGATTGAAGCTGCTAGATACAGCTCTCTCTCTCTGCTGCTGCACAAAGCTCAGGTTCTCTCTCTGCTACTAGATTCTGTTGGTTCATTCTCCTGGACTAGAGAAGATAGCAAGTGAGAGAAATCTGTTTTGCTGAACTTGCCTTTGCCAAGGGGGCATTTATGGGATGCTGCTGTGTTGGAACAGTTGATGAGTAGTAGTTAAATAATATGATTTTATTAAATCTTTTAATAGAGTTAAAGTTATGCCAATTCTTTTTGTTTTTGTTTGTGGTGGGAGAATGAAATATATTTTGCTTAAAGCCTAGTAGTTTGGCCAATCAAATCACATCTGGAATGCCACGCCTTCTACCTGCCTTTAAATAAGCGAAAAGTTCAGGTCTCAGCTGTCTCTCTGATAATATGTTGAGGTGGTTTAGTCTGGTCCATGACAGGCAGGTGGGATAAGACAGAGTTCTTCATCGACTGGTTGGGATACAATGGGCTGAATTGCTTCCTTCAGCGTTCTGATTTCGATGAAGGATTTCTCCAATTCCTGGGTAGAACCTGTTCCCATTCCTGATCTTAACATCAGGTGGGAAACAACCATTTCCACCAGATAAGAAAGGTTTCAAGTGTCCCTCCTAACCAGCTGATTCCCTCCCTAGCAAGCAAACAAATCAGCATTAATGTCATCTTTTCAGTATTTTTTTTGCTTCCCCAACTTTAGCTTCGATAGAGAGGGGAGTGGAGGACCCCAGGCAGTCAGCATCACTGAGGAGCGGGCACAGAGATGCCAGAAGGAGACAGACCACTGGGGGAAGCTGTGTGGAACTCAGGAGCAGTGCGAGCAGGTGAAAAAGAGCAGGGAGGGCCCAGGAACAGACAGACCAGGTTGTGGCTGAAAAGGGCAGGTAGGAAATGGGCGAGCATTCTTGTCCTGCGTCTTGTGACTGGAAGTTAACTTAAGGCCATAAGTACAGCTTAAAAACTTTACACAGATAATTTATCCTTTAGAACATAAAAACTAAATTTCTTTGCTTAATAGATAGGTTCTGGCTGTTTGTCTGATATGAACAAGAATAATATTTTTCGAGGCTACATTTAAGGAGGGGTCAGGGTAAAAACAAAGCAAGGGGTTCTATTTACTCTAGGTATGCCTGGGAAGCTCAGGCCTGTGATTAGCCCATCCTGCATGAAAAGGGAAAGGGTCACGGATGTCATGGAATGGCTACAGGATATCTGGAAGCGGGAAAGTGAACAGCCAGAGGTCGTGCTCCATGTTGGAGCCAGTGAAATGAGAAATAAGGTCCAGCAGGCAGCCATTAGGGAGCAAACTGAAAAGCCAGACTTCAAAAGGTCGTAACTTCCAGATTGCTCCCGA